TTTACCTATTGTATCATCAATGTAAAGAAGAACATGTAGAGGAAGCCGGACGTCATTTTTTTTTTTTTTTTTGAAGCTGTAGTTGAGAAACAATCTGGACACCTTTTATGAAGGACTAATATTGATTGTCTTGAATAATGAACTGACCTCGCTTTTCCCCTTTACGAGGAAATCGCCAGGCTATAATCAAGATGGCATATGAGCCACAGGTACATGATAGTAAACAAGCTTTGCGTACGGTTTAGACTCAGTCCTTGTCCTGGACTTGTCCTGATGTCAATGTCATATCGTAGTTACACCCTTCGCGGGTAATTGTCCCTGGCCAGATATGGTCAAGACATTTCACATCTAAATCCAACACTTCGGTGACGACGGTAATCAAAACAGGCGAAGCCACCTCCTAGTCACTACTGAAGAAAGAGAAACAATATGCACGCAGAGGGTAGATAATGACAAAGTAGAAAAACAAACAAATAAAACAGTGAGACCTGCTACATTTAATTGCGTCTCTTTGGGGCCTTCCTGTCTCCCAGCGCGGCTGATTCTGCTCGCCTCCGATTCGGCTGTCGTGGAACAAGCAGGTGTTCCCAATATTGTTAACGTCGTGTTCCGTCATGCTAGACATACAAAAGATATGAGTGAGCAAGCATCGATTGGTCCACGCCTCGTTGTTACCTGTCAAGCAAACGAAAAGAAATAAGAGAACATTGTCATGAAACAACGAATAGGATCAACGAGCCACTCTTGAGAGGTTGTACAAGACGACGCAAGCTCGCAAACACGTCGTCACGTAAGCCCACGCACAAACCCATGAGCCCCAGCCTGCATCATGTCCTTTCCCAGAAAACAGAACATGCGGGAGTGCAAGCATGCACGACATCGTCCACCAGGTGACGAAAATGGACGTTCCCCATCGGACATGACCATGCCCCAGGCTCGTATTCTAGCTATCCAGTACACGGTCCATCATTGGTGCGTTTGTATACCAGGATGTGGGAAGATTGACAGATCCGAACGGGCCAAGAAACCTTCCTCAGGAATTTTAGAGTACCTGACGTGTGACTTGCAACACTCCTTGTTTCCTCTGTCTCTTATGTCTTTATGCCAAACGAAAATAACGCCTGCTTCCGTTATCCCCTTGCATTACAGTTCGTACTCTGAGACAGCGTACCTTGCAGAACAGACAACGAATTTCAGATCTGGCAACGCCGAGTACGCAAGAGAAGCCGAGGAAAAAGAGGAAGGGGAGGTAGATGCACGGCATTGGCTCTCGAGGATAAAAACCTGTCAAGGCCAGCACCCATTGTATTTTTGGAAAACATCCGATCAACAAGACCACACTAATACCGGAGATCGACCAGAGTTACTCAGAACGAGTTGACAACCAGCCCACAAACAACCTCATACTTTCATCTCCACACATTTACCTTCATCATGGCTTCGCCATCTCGCACGAGAACCTCTAGCCTCCTCCGCACCGTCGCCGTCGCCGCCTTTGCTGCTTCGGCATGTGCGGCTCCATCACTTACACCTGCACTGGCAGACCTCGAAGTTCGTGTCTCTGTCGCCAAGACCAACTTTGGCGCCTCATGCACCAACATCGCCTACTTTGGCTACTGCCGCATCGAGGCCGACTGTACGTCCGACGGAAGCGACGTCACAGACAAGAACAAGGGCAGCCTTCAGCACACCTTTCTCGACATGGGCCAGTGCATCGGCTACGATGCGCCCTCCAAGGCCCTCAAATGGCGCAGCAAGTCCGTGGCGCATTGGCAGTCCACGTACTGTGCGCCCTGCAGCCACTGCACCATCGACCCCAAGACGACGAAGCTGACGTGCCAGTGCCAGTATGCAGACGCCACGAACAACCACGCGACGTATCTGACACTGAGCGACCATGTGTCCAACACGGCTGGCGTGTTGAGCTGCCTCAATGTCGCGGGTGACCGTGACAATAATGATTGAGGGACGTTTCAGGCAACTGGAAAAGAAGGGAGAATGGGAGAATACGAAGAGTCATCGCTGTTATGTCGAACCAAACCAAAAAAGACCAGAAATGGGTTGGCACAGTCGCAAAGGACCACAATTGCTATTTGAAGATCAAAAGGTATTCTATCAGGGAAATAAGCATGTTTCTAGATGTTGTATAAAAACAGTGGTCACGCATGTGCATATATTTCGTTACGCAAAGTTCGCTCTCGCTTCATTCAATGCGCTAATCTTTACTTTCTTGTGCCTGGTCTTCCCCACCCGACCTTGCTCACTGTCTTAAAGGCATCCTACCTTATTTACATGTTACCGACAGCTACTGCACACACTCGAAAACGACTCCCTAAGAATGATCTTGCCTGGGAGGTTGCGGCAGGCACTTCTCTCGCGGGCCGCATACGAGCACTGTTTAATGCTGTCGTAGATGTGTTCGTCATGGCCACAGCCTTGGTAGTGGACGGCAATCCATTTGATGTAGCACATTTTTTCGGCGAAGTAGTGAAATTTGAAGTCGTGGGGGACTGTTTGGGAGCGAGAAGTCCAGCACAGAACTGAAAGTGAAGGACTGGACCAGTGTGGTTTATATATTGTCTTCGAGAGGCACTAGTCAAGTAAAATTGTACATTGAAAGGCAATTTCAAATCGTGTTTTCGCAGTGATTCATCAAACCATTGTCCGTCGTTCTATACTTATGTCATTATATCCCGTCACGTATGAACTGCTCGCCCGGCAGCTCTTACGAGCGCAGGTACTCACACACGGCCTTGCCCCAGCGCACGCCACCTTTGTATGTCCACATGCCGGGAGCATTTCCTTTTTTGAGTCCCTCAATCGCATCGGCCAGGTCGGGACCCACGCCTTCACTCTTGAGATCTTGCAGTGGGAAAAGATGTGTCTTGAAGGAGAAGAGGATTAATTTTGTGGCGGGAAGGCGTGTCAAGGTTTGGCACTCGACCCGAAGGTGCGTTTGAGCAATGTCAACATCGGCGTCGTGTTCGACATCGTCCCCTTTGTGAACATGGTTTCCATTGGGCACGAACAGGTTCGCGTGTGTTTGGACAGACCACTATAAGTATGAGTACGTTCTCTTGGCAGTGGAAGCACAAAGGAGGGCAAGAGATAGACCTACATTAAGTCGTCTCACGCTCTGGCCAACGGCGAGCCGCTTGAAGAAGCGCTCCATGCTCGGCCCAATCTTATCGTATGACGGAACCGGCTTGTGGATGTCCCTGAGAAGCAATCCGAGCTTTGCCGACGGGTCGAACCCAGACGGGAAGCAACAGAGGAAGGCCACCAGGCGGTGGCTTGTTTCAGGGTAAGCCGGTCCATCATCGCCGGCTAGTGTTTGGATGTCTTCCTCTTGCAACAGAAACAAGTCGTCTTCGACCGTTTCGCCAAGGGTACGCAGGGCGTCCAGTGGGTTGGTAGGTGGACTGCGCGGAATATCTTGTCCAGTGGCGGCGTTGTGTAGCGACGCTGTGGAAGCCGCTCTCGTAAAGATCGAGGAGTATCGTGCAGGCAGATAGTCCATCAAGTAGGCATATAGCTCATCCACTGCCGCCTTGGCTCCCGGTGTGCCGATGGTGCCCATGACTATGTTTGGGTTGCTCTCCATCAGTCTGCGCCGTGTCTTGATGCGTTCTCGATAGTTACTGTCGAGGACGATAAGGTCTTCGGGCAAGGAGGACTGCAGCGCCATGGTGATGTGATAGGCCGGCTTGTAAGGCCGGAACTGAGTTGGTCTGACAGTCGTATAGTCGAATGCTGGCAAAGGCGTGATGGAAGGTGGAGGCGTGATCTTGCCATCGTTGGCTGACTTTTCTGCGTTTCTGCCGACTGCTACGTTTCTCCTGGGCTTCTTGTTACGCTGCCTGAGACAGAGACCGACCACTAACGCTGATACGAGGAGGACGATGAGATATAGATCCATGTTGTATAATTAGGAAACACAAACCAGCATGTCTAAATCAAATCGAACACCAAAAGAAATACGAAAGAGGGTCGAGGAACTTATTGATTGAACCCGGAGACAAAAGGACGATCGAGAACAACTTGATCCGTCTGTTGTCGACAGCCGCGGTATCGCTTTGACATCTTAATGGAGGTCTCGAGCGGGGTGCACACCAAAATAACCACACTAATAATACTCGTCGTAGCTCTGGTTCCTTGGCGATTGGATGGCACCGTTTTAGGAAGGTCGTGCCGTGTTCTGACTGAGAGGGTGATCACACACGCGGCAACTGCCGACAGCAGCCGTGTTGCCTGTCCATGTTGAGTATACATTCCCGATGTAGCGGCCTCTGTGGTGATAGAGTCAAGGTCGAAGATAAGAAGGGATAACCACGACGCGTCAAGAAGACGATGGCCTGGAGAAACGTGGGACGAATCATGAGAGGTGAACGCCCCATCGCCGAATAAACCCCGTCCCCACATAGTGCGTTGTTGCGATGTGAGACTGTAGGGAGTCGCATATGTCAACATCCAGCATCGAGCAGGTAAACGAATCACGAATACGTACTATTGTCAACAGGCCTCAACTATGTCGTCAAGCTGGCCGTTCTTTCCTCGTGCAAATGGCAACATGCATTCTGCCCCTGCACACCGCCTGGAGCCAATCATAGCAAGAATCACGAGGCTGAGTTGTGACTTCCTTTCCTGGTATCTCGTACATAATGTGGCGTTGACGGTCAAGGGGTTCAATAAAAGGGGTCTTCACCGCCTTTCAGCTTTGTCGCTGGAGTGACAATGGCTGGAGTGGCAATGGCGCGTTGCACAACGCGTAGCCCTCTTTTCGTGATGAGGCGGCAACTTTGACATCGATCACGACGAAGTTCGAATCAATAGCACTTCACAATAGGTGGCCAGGATCGGGTCGTCTCTGAAAGTCGGCAAGACGAGTGTACCCAGAGTCGCCTGAACGTCATTTCCGGTCTTCTGTACCCATCACCACTTCATCGCTTTGGCACCACCACCATAAAACGACCGCTGCGGCCTTGTGTATTTCACGGAGCATGGAGTCCACGGATGTAAATGGCGGGCAAGATGTCGGGTACGAATACGATCCCCAGACCACGCTCGAATCGATCGAGAAGAGCAAGACGATCAATTTTACCATCAGTGCCAACTACACATCCGGCTGGCAACCGCGGGAGGCCTTTCGTGAGCTTGTACAGAACTGGTAGGGTCACCGGGTCACCTTTTACCTTTTTCTCAATCGTCCCTTGCTGTTGTACTTTCCACCGTGTTCTGACAAGATTTTGCGGGCTTTGTGAATAGGCGAGACGGTATCATCGAATCTTTCAAGCTGGCCAGACATGAGTTTCGTGTCATACGACGAGAGCAAGCGCTAGACCATAACATCGAAATCATGTATAGCGTGCCAAACGTGAAGTGGACCGGGGACACGGATCCACGATGGCTCGGGTATATTCGCTATACAGGCCGCGATGGTGAAGGATCCATCGATATGGTCAATTGTAAGGCCACCCTGCAGCCACAGTATCTCGACATGGGTGGCTCGAGCAAGGTTGGCCAAACGGAACAGGCCGGTGCCCATGGCGAAGGTCTCAAAATTGCATTACTCGTGTTGATGCGCAGTCCGCAAAACCACTCTGTTCGCTGCTGCTCTGGGGGTTTCAACTGGACCTTCAATTTCACCACAAGCGGACGACTTGTTGCCCGCTTGCAGCGCATGTCGGAAGCAGCCATCGATCGGGCTGTGGAACAAATGGAGCGACAGACTCAGCGACCAGGAGCATTGTTACCTTTCACAGCGTCACCAAATCACGATGTACGGTTCGTGATTGGTGAGTACCGGACTGGCCGTAATGAGACAGGCAACATGGTAAACCGGAGTCCTGTCAAACAGACACACTTTGAGGAGTGGACAGCGGCGGCTTTGTTCCTCCACAGCACGGAACCTGGTGACATACTGACAACGAGTGCTGCGGGAGATCTACTTCTCGCGCCACATCTTCGGGGAAAACTTTACCTTAAAGGTCTGCTATTGAAGGAGTCGAAAACTGGCCAGTCGGCCAGTATGACTGGACGCCCGCTTCGCTTTGGCTATAACTTCGCCATCGGTCGGACGAATCGCGAGAGAATGTCTGTCGGAAGCGCAGGAGAGGAGGGTCGTGCGATGTTGGCTATTTGGAATGCGGTACTTCAGGAGTACCCGTCGTTGGCCACTTCGGCGGAAAACTTGAGCGATATGCTTAATACTGTCGAGCCGGAGTATGCAGATGTTAGTGGAGCGAAGTACATGCCGAGAATGCTGGCCGAGTCACTCAAGAGGCACCTTTTTTCTCGGGTGCCTCAAAACAAGTGGTACTACAGCAGCGTTGAGAAGAGCAAGGTAAGCCGGTGTCTTTATCCTTTCTATTGCTTTTTACTGTTATTTACTGTGCTCACCGACGTTTTATACTTTATAGAACCATCGACTGGACGACATCTTTCGCGGTCTCGGATGCGAGGGTGTTGAGCTCTCAAAGCCTTACTGGGAAGCGCTGCGCCAGTATGGTCTTCTTCGAACCGCCGAGGAAGAGGAACGCCGCCGATTCATGGCGGCACCTATTGTTCCGCCCCCGGCCACCAGCTTCGCGAAATCGCTTTGTCGCCTTCTCCATGCCTGCTTCCATGGCTGCTCGCAAATGAAGGGACTTGATTTTGTTTTTGTTGGGGCAGGTCAGCTGAACCTTCAACTCTACTTTTCAGACGACCACGACCTCCTGTTCCGAATCCATGACCGCTGGCTTTCGGTGCAGAGTGCGTCCGCTGAGTTGGGCTTGTCCGAGTTTCAATCGGAGTCGGACATTCTTTTCCATGTAGTGAAAAGCTTATTTTTTGATGCCCTGGAGCAGTTACCGCTGCAAGATTTTACTAATCCAGACGGCGGACTGCATAGCCGTATCCAAGATCGGCCCCGCCGCCGGGAGGCCATCCGCGCTGAACAGCGTCTGCTCAACTACATGCGCATCGCAAATTCAAGTATCGAAACCAAGAAAGGATTGCCCGCTTTACGCATTTCTTGGCCTATGACCCAGCCCGAGGTTGAGATCGAGATCCAGTGCCACTTATTGTCGACATGCTCCCATTTGATGAACAAACTTGTAGCCCGAGATGGTAAAGGCCCCCTCTATTGCGATTTGGGTGATGCGAGTGTTTAATTTGAGTGTTTAATTCTTCTGCTAATGTTCTGCAATTCGTCTTGCTCATACAGTTTGTTCCGATTATTTGCCCTGTATCAAGCCGAGGGATACGGAACGGCCCACTACACTTGCGGGTACTCCGGCCTGCCGTGTTGTTTTGACAGGCCTACAGGAGGTGCGTGGCCTAGTTAGGGGCGAAAAATACTTCTTTCTGTGTATTGTAATGCCCAGTGACCCTGGTGCATTTGTATTTGTGTCTGATACATTCGGCGGTCTTGACGACACAACCATCGCATCCGCGCCAAGTACGAAATTGGCAACGCCGCTCATCGGTAAGAAACCTCCATCCCAGTGCATGAATGGCACGAGACGATGTGGCGCACATTCTGACACTTGTATTCAGAAGTTGGCGAACGACTGGAACAGGTCAACATTGTGGATGTCGAACGATGGCATGCGGTAAAAAGAGACGGACAGGTGTCGGAGCGTGAAGTCATGGCAGTCATGAAGGACACACTCTTGGAAGAGGACCGATCTCGGAAGCGGCAAAGAGGGACTGAGTGAAGGTGTGCCTGAATGCAAATTCTCAGAACTCGGAGGGATATAAAAATGAAAGGAATGCGTAGTGTACCTTGGTGGACTGACTCAGTAGTGGCCGATTGGGGTTTTCTTTTTTCTTTTTCTTTTTTTTTTTTTTTTTTTTCGTTTTTTCGTTTTTCCTTTTTTGTCTTTCTTTTATTTGCGTTTCGTTTTTGTGCTATGCGGTCGCAACTAGTAGCGACATAATCGATATTACAGAAGCAAGCATAATTTGCTTTTCTATTTCATTTTGTTTTCAATTCGGAATAGAACGACTGTTGAACTGCCAAATGCTCCTCGAGGTTGACACTACTCGCCGTCATGTCCTGTTTCAAAACAATTTTGCTTGTTCCATAACCACCTCGTCGACCATGAAGACCACGCCAGGGCCAGTCCTTCCATACAGAGTAAAGTACTCTGGAACGCCCCAAGAGTACCTGCAGCAGCTGACGAACGTGGATAGTGGCCGCTCATGTCGTCCGGACTGGGACGCCAAAGAAAGTGTTCAGGTTCGGCGCGACGTTGGTCAGTCATATTGCGCATATTGGTATGGTGCTCATGGATTCAGGTGCTGTTTTGCCGCATAATTCCCCGTGGCGCGCCATGTTGCGCTCAACATGGGCTGTTACTGGAGCTGGAAAGGTGGCGAGGGACCTGAAAAAAAAAACGCTTAAAGCTTTCACCAGATATCCAAGAGACAATTGACCGGTTTATCAAGTAAGTAATTGCTTTTTCCGTTCATGAAAATCAAACGAAGTCGTACAACGAACACTTGAATTGCCGGGGACACTGTAGCCGTACTAGACGTTAACGGGAGTGGTCACTAACACCCGGTGAGTTTATTGCTATTTATGCCAAAACGAGGGCCAAAAATTCCATAGGAGCATTACCTCCTCCCACGAACAGATCACGATGGCCCCAGCGAGAGACGTTGACCGATATGCGGACCAGCCTTGTCTCGAGTGTTGAACCTGCATTTTATCGTCTTGTTCTTTTTTGACTTCTGTTGTGGAGTTTACCTGTATTGTAAATTGGTGGGAGTCGTCATCGCTGTCATTGCTGATATTGCCGACGTTGCTGTCGCCGTCTACCAGAAATAGCACCCTATGACTGTCGACCTATCTTGCTTGGCGATTAGACCAGTCAACCGTACTTTATTTGGTGATGTTTATTTTGATAGTGCCAGTACAGATTCTGCCTTTTGCCGGAAAGGCGGTGCTCGCCAACAGGCAGGGCTATCGGCATGCGCGGCGGCCGAACGCACAAGGTTTGTCGTATGAGAGCGTGGCGGCTCTCAATGTTTGCTGCAAGATCACCACCGCCAGCTTCAAGCTAACCTTGTCTCACTCCACTACAAATCAGGCCCTTGAGGTTTACTTGGGTCCCCAGACCTCGCTGCTAGCTGTGTAAACCTGCTTGCACTGGCCACGTCTCGCGTCGCTGGCTACGCTAAAGAGACAGACATCCTGGCCATGGCTTTATGGCGTACTGTGTCAGCAACACTGACAGCCCGCAAACGAGCAACGCGACAAAGAGTGTGTCGTTGTGGTTGGCAAGGAGGAGATTCTTGTCGAACGACCAGACCAACTGGCAGCACCGCGGATTCCCGTGTATGTTGTAGGGAGTAGCGTGGTGTGGAAAGATCCATGGTATATCGTGGTGAGGCAAAACGGTATATTCGTTAAATGATGCGTGCTGTCATTTTTGTTAAACAGCCATGATTTGGGTTGCACGTGAACAGTAGTCACCCCAGTATTGGCTGCCCCCTCCGTGCCAGTTCCCACCGCACCGACGCAGCCAAATCGTCGTCGTGGTTGGCCACTGGTGCAAAGTGCAGAAGACGCCGGGCCTTGTCAATGCTGTAACTGTGTGATTCGATGCAGTAGGACAGAGACGCGCTTGTGAATTCGGTTGGCGGCTGGGCCTTGCCAAACGAAAAAGCCCAGTACGACCACTCGGCCACGGCGACGACAGCGACCATGATCCACGATGGCAGCACCCAAACCTTGTCGAGGGCCTCTCGACCCCGTGCAATGCCCCAGATCACACGGGCGTGGTGCCAAAAGGGCACAGGCGCGCCGTCTGACAGGTTGAACGCTGCGCCGGCCACGCCGGCGGCATTCCCTTCCAACAGTGCTTTGGCTGCCAGGACGTGGCCCGCCGCTACATTGTCCGCTGAGGCCACCTCCATGTGCACTCTGTTGCTGTCCTCGGATCGCTTGCCCAACTGGATCAGAGGGGCGTTTCCCTGAGCCGCGGCAAGAATTTCGTAGAGTCCCTGCGTGTGCCGCTCACCGTAGACATGTCCCGGCCGCAGCACGACCGTTTGCAGGTGGCCAGGGTCACTGTTGGCGGCACGCACAAGTGAATCGGCCACCGCCTTCGTGCGGCAGTACTCGCTCATTTTGGGGCGTCTCCCCTTTCCGTCCCCCAAAACATCGGTCCATAGTGGCCAGTCTTCGCCCGTTTTGTCGTGCGGCGGATCGGCATAGACGTCGACGGTCGACGTGTACACGAATGCTTTGACAGGAGGGCATTCGGCGGCTGCCCGCAACAGTGTCGCCGTGCCTACGACGTTGGTCGCGTGAAATTCGCTCTGGCGGCTCGACGGCAGCGATGCCGGCGGTGACGCCATGTGGAACACGGTGTGTGGTTGCAGCGTGTCGAGCAATGAGCGGACGGCTGCTTCGTCGGTGATGCCGCCTTGCGTGTAGGACGAGACGCCGTCGACGCGATTGTTGCCAGTGTTTATGTCGAGGACATGGACAGGCTGCAGCGGCCGGGCGTCGTCTCGCAGCAGATGGCGCACAAGGTGGTATCCAAGAAAGCCACAGCCGCCAATGACCAAACTGCCACCCGTTGCAGTCTTTGTCGTGCGATGTTCAGCCATGGTCGTGTTATTAGGTTTCTGTGCATGTGTGCATGCGTGTGTGAAATGAGATGTCGGCTTTCCTTTCGTTTTTGTGGCTTAATTCGGTCATCTTGCGTGGCGTGGCTGTCACAGCTACCTTGATTATGGGTTTGTTCTCTGGTCGATCGACGTGGTTACATGAGCCACGGAAGGGTCATCTGACCAGGCCGATCGTCTCCTTAATGGGACGGAATTACAGAAGTCTGTAGAGACAGTAGGGCCTGGCGCAACAGCACAAGCTGCTCGCTATTTTCAAGGGGGAGTACCACTCCACAGCAATCGGAAGCATTAAAATTATCCTACAACCGTTTCAAAAAGGAACCCATCTTACGAATACAATGTTACACTTTCGGCATCAGTCACCTTTTTGTCCGTTTGTCCGTTTCCGAAAAGTCAACTTCCTCCAAGAAGACCGCTTAAATTACAATGCTCGTACGGTAAATTTTAACAAATTTGAGGTAGAACATCTCAAGGGTCATTCCTCCCGTTGTCGAACACAATGGGTCGTAGTCGCGTCCTCTATGATTAACGGCCATTCTTGTCTGCCCAAACAACGACATGTCACCGCCAACACACTTCAACAGCATTATCATCATCTAAAAGTTCATTGACTTTACATCTCACCTTGTCGAAAAATCCTGTCGCCCTCTTTTTTCCTTGTAAGTTCACGCTCGTCACGCTTCAAAGGGCCAACGACGATGCACAGCCGCTGCTGTCGAAGTGCTCATTAGGAAGGCAGAACCTGATGCCGTCGACGCACCCGCCCCAGGCCCGGTTACAGTTGCAGACGCGCAGCTCGACGGTGAAGTCGAACCAGCTGCGACACGGGCACTCGCCGAAGACATGTCGTCGCTGCTCGGACTCAATGTGACTGCACCAATCGTCAGGTCCGTCACCATCCATTTCGTGGTTGCCTCCACATTCACGACCGGCTGCGTGCCGTGGAGAGTGTGTGACGTTGTTGCGAGACGTACGCTAGCAGCGTTTGGTGGTCGCACGCGGTACAGTTGCTGCCCGCGGCAAACGCGTCACTCCATTCCAGGTCGTACCCTATAAGGGAAATATTGGGCCCGGTCGGGCCCCGTCCCGCTGTCAGGTACTGCTGGATCCACGGCCGGATTTCCTTGATCGACGACGCGTTCATGCCCGATGTGTCGCAAATCGTTCACTGTCTGCCAAGCCACGTGTACCCATATCGAAACACGGCCCGGCCGCCGTCTGGTAGACCGACTGAACCACGGCCGGCTTGGCCTCGCCGGCAAACAGCTCCGGGTCCGCATAGATGGTGCCCACAACATGTCCCGGCTTGATGTACGCCGACAGCCATGTTGACAAGACACCACCAGACGGCAGGCCCGCGACCATTACGGACCATTGCACGACAAGACCAATGAAGCGCACCAGAGCTGGCTTGCCGAATGAACCGGTGGCGGTCAGGTTCATGCGGATCTCGCCCAAGTCCGCCACTTGCTCGCAAATGCCGTGTGCCGTGATGACAGAGCTGTGGCCGGCTGCTTTAAGGTAGTTGCTCGTGGCGGCATCTTTCGTCGTGGCGGTGTAGCCGACCTGAGCGGCAGCCGCCAGGAACGCTGCTGTGCGAATTCCTAGCATTCTGGCACATGGCAAACGTGATAAGTGTGACATGTGTCGACCAGAATATTGTCTTCATACGAAACGAAGCTGGACCGCGGATTGGGGGTGATGAGCAACAGGACAGGAAAGTGTGCGGTATTTTCACCTGTGCGAGAGGGATCGCCTCTGGAGGGACGTGATGCGGTATTGCTATGTATAGATTTTCGTACTGCTGTGCTGTAGCGCACATTTGGTAGCCGGTGCGTCGGTGTTTGTAAGGTCCGTGCAGTACGTGGTGTCATGCATGAAGTACGATTTATGTCGTGGACAACCTATATTGTGCATAGCGACGTGGTGTTAATGAGCCCCGTCGACCGTCCTTGGACTCTGGTCTCACTGACGAGATCTTTCGTTTCACTGAAACATTTCGGGAAGTGGCTGGCACGGTAGCCTTTTTGCCAGTATTGACATTTTAGTTCGACCTCAACTATCCGGAGAGTCTACGCGGCAGCAGTTTATCAACATCTTAATACGTGAAGCTAGCATCATGAACCCACCAATATGTACGATGAAGGGGTTGAGTACCCCAAGCCACGAACACATAACCTCGGGTCAGCCTAGAAGATATCGATTCCGATCCTCGAGATCTTTTTTTTTTTTTTCATCAGTACCACAACGGCTTTTCCGAGAGCAACATGATTTCGACGTCGACGAAGGATACTATGTTTTGCTGGCACAACAGCCACACTTTGGACAGCCAGGTTTAGACCACCAATAAAATCGAGACTCGGTACGGCCCACAAGACATTCCATGCATGGAAGGCCCAGCGTGCTGTTCTTTCCAACCTTGCGCGCAGCAGCACGACCGGATTCAGCGAAGACCACTATGGGAACGACCCGTACCTTGCATTGATCCTCAAGCGGCCAAGTGTAAGGACTACGGGGGACCACTTCTACTGCTCTGGAAGGCCAGGATGGAAGGTTCATGGAAGACTGTCAAGACGCACAAGAGTGGGATCCGGCTTCCGGGTCGTGGAACAAGAATTAAAAAGCCTGTATCCCATCCATCCGACGATGGGCACAAGAGAGCCAAGCTCTGGGCGGCCTCTCGCAAATGGCCTAGGTCGGCGGATTGAATCTTGACTACTGTGCCACCCGTGTGCAATGCCTGTCTGGGCACCAAAGCTTGATTTTGCTGTAGGACTCACGTCGAATGCTTGAAATACGGAACAAACGGAGCTCGAACGTTGCGAATTTGTTTTTCCTCTTCATGCACGTCTTTGTAAAGTATAAATTATTGGGATTTCTGATTTCCTTTCAGGAAGCCAGCCTCGGTCGCGCGCGGAGCAGCATCCTTGCCGTGACAATCCACACAACGACAAGCTGCAGCCATGTGCGGCCGTGTGCTCCTCTTGTGAAGACCGAGTTTCTTTCTGCCGTAAGCCGTACTTCGTATCTCATCCACAGCTATTCGATTCATGCAGAAGTGTTGTCCTTGGCACACGGGGTCAACGAGCTGACTCGCTCCCTCCGTATTTTTTTCCCGGACATTGCCACCCAAAGCAATACCCTTTCCAGAGCATAATGGACAATTGCTCTGACAATTTCTCAAAGAAAACACAGCAGCGGAGGAGGTAACCGCCCACACATTGGTGGGGATGCGCCGTGGGAAATCATCGCCAAGCCACCGAGGCCCAGTAGGATGTGAGACTGGACGTAATAGTAGAAAACCAAAAGACATTTTCAGTTCCGCGGACGTACCAAAAGCAACTCGTAAGAAACTCGACTTTTTCTATCAATGCCTTCAAACATTCCGACCAATGGTAGTCGCTGTATCCAACACGTTTTTCAGTTGCTCTGTGTGTCGTGCTCAAAGCCAAGACCGCCAAGACTATCGCCAAGGTGCGAGAGTGGATCGATAACAAGACCGAATTGAAAAAATACAAACTTGACACCGAATGGGGCCTCATAGGTCTTTGTCGGAAGAAAATTTTCGGCGATGCGGACAAGTGAAAAACTAGACAATGAAACGCGGCAGCAAATTCGTCGATATGTGTCTTTCTAGTAGAGGCAACGATCTCTTTCGTTATAGAAAACTCGGTCGATGATCGGAAAGCCCACCGAACATTTCCATTTTACTGGATGGCGACAAGTCCCTTTTTAAATCCCATGTGGCGTTCAGCACTACTGCATTAGCGCGGATTCTTGTGGGCCAGACAGGCATAATGGACCAATCAACGCCACCCGGGTTCCTGTCAATGTAAATAAGCATAAACACCAATGGATTGCCTTCAGGACGACCAACAGAATAACAGAATCCTTTCCAAGCAGCCAGAGACCTTTCCCGCGATTAGGTCTCGGCCCAGCCGGCCTTTGCCGTCACTTTGGAGTTTTCCAAGCTGTTGTCATCTTCTTGAGATAGAGAATGCATCTTCTTGAGATAGAGAATGCATCTTCTTGAGATAGAGAATGAGGGTAGTAGAAGACGGGTTGAAGCGTATTTTCAAAAAGCAGTTTGGATGCGTCGTTCCTCAAGACCGCCCTTGACGGTGTCTCGACAACTCGACAATAGAAAGCAGACCCACCTAAATACCTAGTGCTACCATGTACGGAGTACTCCGTACGGATTTGGCCACATCTTCCAAAAATGGAACGTTCCAAAGATTCAAGGCTCTTTTCAGCGTAAACGAGCACGTGTGCAATCCGTGCTCTCTCCATGAATGGCACGTGTCAGTCTGGCCCCCTGCTGCTTTGGGCGACCGAGCAAGGTTTCGTTAACTCGTTCTTGGCGAATCCAAGTGTGCCTAGAAGATGCTTGTCGCGTGCGGTCCCATAGGTTAAGCATCCTGCGTCGGTGAACCATTCAGATTTGCCAAGCAGCCTAGTACCAGCGTGTGTGCCACAGGACGCTATTGGGATGTATTACCTTCAGAACCGAGAGACGAACGTTCCACAACCGCCGCGCAGCGGCTGATGAACGACGTACATATCTACCCGTCGTTCTGGTCTTTTCTCAATTTTGATATTGCTTGTCTCTTGTTCTTCTTGTCTTCCAGACGACCACCTTCAGCCAACCAGCAACCCGTCGGCCCTCTGATCTTTGATCGGTACAACACCGTCACAATGCCTACTCTTCACCAATACGACTACATCTTCGGCATTGGCACCGTGTTTGCCTTGCTCGATGCCTTCAACAACGGTGCCAGTACGTGACAACAACACCGTTGTTTGCTTTTGCTTCGTTTAAATTGTCATTTATGTTTTGTCCACGCCGCTGACTAGATAGACGATGTTGCCAACTCGTGGGCCACGAGTGTTTCCTCCCGCTCCATCACGTACCGCTGGGCCATGGTCCTAGCAACCGTTTGTGAGATTGCCGGTGCCGTCGCCACCGGTGCCCGTACCGCGTCGACCATCAAGGACGGCATCATCCCGGCCACTGCTTTCGAAGGCAACGCCGGCGTCCAGCTCCTCGCCTTCGCCTGCGCCATCGCCGCGGCCTCGTCCTGGGTCATGTGGTGCACCGCCCACTCCACCCACGTGTCGTCTTCGTACTCCATCATCTCGGCCGTCGCTGGTGTCGGTGTTGCCACGGTCGGTGCCTCGCATGTGCAGTGGGGCTGGAACAAGGGCAAGGGCCTCGGCGCCGTTTTCTCCGGCCTGGCGCTGGCTCCCTTGATTTCCGGCGGCTTCGCGGCCTCCATCTACCTGCTCATCAAGTTCATCGTCCTCCTCCGTGCCAACCCCACCAAGTGGGCCGTCTACACGTCGCCGTTCTGGTTCTTCCTGGCCGCTGCTGTCTGCACGCTCTCCATCGTCTACAAGGGTGCGCCGCAGTACCACCTGACGGACAAGCCCTCCTGGTGGGTTGCTTCGGTCATTGTCGGCACCGCTGCCGGCGTTGCCCTGATCGCGACCCTCTTCTTTGTCCCTTATATTTACTGCCTCATGATCAAGAAGGACCAGTCCATCCGCTGGTACCACATCTTCTACGGCCCTGCCCTCCTGCGTCGCCCCGTCGAGGCTGGCGAGAGCATCAAAGTCCCCAACTACAACGTTGTCCAGGAGGAAGACATGGAGCCTGAGTCCGCTCCCGATTCCGCCGACGCCGAGGCAGGCGCCGGTGAGCCGCTTAAGGACAACGCTGTCACGGTCGTCGATGCCAACAAGGAAGCCAACTTTGATGAGGAGAAGTCCCAGGCCAAGTACAGGGAAATGATGGAACAGTCCAAGCGCAAGCTCAATGCCAAACTTGAGGCCAAGCCCGGCCCGCTCGGCTGGGCCATGCGCACCCTCCGCGACTACCCCATGGGCGCTGGCTCCATCTACGAGCTGCACAACATCAAGCGCTTTTTCATCCGTCTGCCCGCTATGATTGTCTGCGGCGCCCTCTACGGCGTCAACTACGACATCCACGCCGCGCAGACCGGTGTCCTCGGTACCCCCGAGGGTGAGCGCATGGCCCGCGTGTACTCCCACGCCCGCCGTTACCCCAACGAGGTTGAGCACTCGTACTCCTTCATCCAGGTCATCACCGCTTGCACTGCCTCATTTGCCCACGGCTCCAACGACATTGGCAACTCCGCCGCTCCCTGGGCCGCCATGTACGCTGCCTGGAAGACGGGCACTGTCAACGAGAGCGGCAAGAACCCTGTCCCTGTCTGGCAGCTTGCTGTTCTGGCCATCACTCTCGCCATTGGCTTCATCACCTACGGTTACAACATCATGAAGGGTAAGTTAAAGAAAACGTCATAAGCGGTCGGAGTATTTTGTGTTGTGACGCTCTTCGGACGCAAGCTAACAAACCATAGTCATGGGTAACAAGATTACGTACCACTCTCCTAGCCGTGGTTGCTCCATGGAGATGGGCGCCGCTATTACCGTCCTGCTCGCCGCCCAGTACAGCCTCCCCGTCTCCACCTCCATGTGCATCACTGGTGCTACCATTGGTGTTGGTCTCTGCAACGGCACTTACAAGGCCGTCAACTGGCAGCGGGTTGGCCTCTTGCTTACCGGCTGGATCCTGACCATTCCCATTGCTGGCACCGCTGCTGGCTGCTTGGTCGGCCTGTTCCTGAACGCTCCTCACTTCTTGACATCGTAAGAATATATTACTCGGCATTGGGACCTGTTGTGAGAGTTTCCCTCTACCCAAACACAACAAAAGTAGTTTGAGTTCGGGTGGTCATTGCCTCTGAACAACAGGCTTTCCCAGTTTTACGCGATTTCTTAAAACATCTACGGCACTTTTCTCAAATTTCCTCCGTGGTGTGAAACACCTGTGAGATTCATATTGATAGATTCGCTTCGTTTATAAATTTGTTCATAAATTTGTTAATATACCATAAAGCATGAATCCATAAATTATGAATCCAGTATTGTTAATCCATAATCGTGAATCCCGTGTCTAACACACGGACTTTACGATTCCCAACGTAGGTCCTGCTCAGTCTCTGTTCAGACAGCATAATCATAAGTGGCTGGTAGCCTCTTCCTGCTGTGTCCTCGTTTTTTTCCTCTTCGATTTTAATAGCATGAACGAAATACATCGCCCGTTGAAGTTGTGGCACCTGATCTCTCAGTCAAACCCTACTTTACAGATCTTCGAGACGCATCCTATTGATTCTTGCCCTCCGCTTTCACGGGAATTTATTCTCGCTGCAGGCTCGGGCCGCAGTCGGCGAATGTACAGCACTGACGGTCCCAGTTGTCGGCGCCGGTGCGCAGGTGTTCACCGGCGGGACTAAAGCTGCTTTGTGCCCTGATACCAGCGCGCCAATAAGAGCACAATGCTTTACCGAGGATAAGGTACCACAGCTCCATACCGAGCGATCACCGATAAGAAAGCCACTTTCAGTTGTCCGAATTGCTTGTGGGGTGAGCCTTTGGTTTTGTTCAACCGACAATGAAGAGAAAGAAGGGAAAGGACAAAAGGCCTTGCCAAACAACATTTAGGGATGCCACTACTTTGTACTCCGCAACCCGCAACATCATGGCCAAGCCTCTTTCCAACACACCCCACTTTGGCAAGGCCGGATATTTGCGGAAGACAGGAGAGAGCTAGTGACAGGGGAGGTGACAGTTCTCCAGGGAAGTGACGATGAGGCGCCAGGGAACCCTGTAGCATCCATTCAGTTCCGATGTGCCTCACGCTTGCGTTATTGTCGTGTCCAAGCGCCGTCCTCTGTGAGATTGCCGAGTTCTCAATATTGCATCGTACTCTTTTGCACCCGCCGGTGTCGAGGAAGATACCACTCTTCCACAAACCATTCCACAAACAGAGACGACTTTAGATTCGCCGTGTTGGCTGATCGAAATGCGGCGGTGTGGAAGAAACGACAGAGGCCCATAATTTCCCCATATACCTGTGGCCCCTCCCCCCAGACTTTTCACACCCCATTGCCCTTTCAACCCCAGATTTATTCTCCATATTCGGCCTTCAAAGTCCTCGAAACACAGTTGTCAACGCTGCACGAAGACATAAACCAAACTGGTTTTCGGTAATCGACTCCATAAGACACGTTGTCCTGGAAGTCGACGGATCCAGAGCCAGACCCTGCGCAGGTCACGCATATTCTACAACGAGAGAAAAGAGCTGCCAAACAGAAGAAGCACACCATGGCATCGGTTCCTCCCGCTCCAGCTCTCCCCAAGCCCACCACACAGAACGACTCGGCCAAGCGTCGACGCGCATCACGGGCGTGTTTGGCGTGCCGGGCCCGTAAGGTCCGTTGCGACGTCATCGTCAGTGGCAAGCCGTGCACCAACTGCCGGCTCGACTTCAGTGAATGTGTCGTGCAATTGAGGCGCAAGAACAGGTATGGTCCAGGAAGCGGAAGGCCTGTCCTGTGCTCTTCGACAGAAACTAACACGAGTTTCAGGTGCAGAACAATTGTCGTCCCGTCCGACAATCACTGGCCCATCGAGCAGGCTAGCGACAGCGACAATGATGGCGTTCCGAAGCACCCAACCCCGACCGCGCAGCTTGCCTCCTCGACGAAACCACCACCCACACAACTAGCCGATGCCCGCGAACACGAGGCCAATGCACCGCCTCCATTTGATTGGAATGATCCTCTTGCCGCCGTGCTGCTGACTGCGGAGCCAGCAGCCACTACACAGTCCCGCCCATCCGTCTCAGAGCCTGCGTCGACCGAATCGGTGTCGCTTACCGCGGCGGGGTCAAGCGACAGCGGCTTGAGGGACCACGGGCTGGGTGGCGACAACGACTTGGACGAGCTCGACTTGTTTCTCAATATGGACGATGGAGAGGAACAACAGACAACGAAAACAGAAGATGCGGTGCTGACTTTGGCCCAGCCGCTGGGCGAAGACGAGCCCATGTCCTATGAGCTCCTCAGTCACACTGTGGATAACTTCTCGCTCTATGGCGGTGGGATCGACGGCACAACCCACGACAACTCGGACTACGGCTGTTCCAGCTCTGAGGCCTGGCAGCAGATGCACTTCCCCTTGTCGCCACCGCTGCTCAAAACGGGCAACGCCAACCTGGCGTCCATGTCGTTTGCATCTGCGATGGGCGTGGGCAGTGCTGGCTTGGGGCTGGATTTTGATATGCCTACAGACACTGGTGCTCTTCCACCCCGACTGACAAAGATCCGCACAAGGGAACACACGCCAGAACGTACATCTCCGCCGCCGTCTGCGGAAAAAGCGGCATCAGCACCGGCCACGACCGGTTTGTCGACAGGCCTGTCGACGGCTGTCGTGGCACAGCCAAGCACCGCCAACAACGGCCCTGCATTTGTTATTTTCTCGCGGTATCCCTTCCTCTCTTCCAAGACACTCTGGAAGCTCGACCACGAGGATGATGCCCTCCTCCTCGAGCAAAGAGGCTGTCTGCACGTCCCCAAGAAGCCCATCTTAGACGAGCTCATGAAGAAATATTTCCTGCACGTGCATCCCCTGGTGCCGCTGCTCAACGAAAACGACTTTTGGTCTATCTACAACAGCCCTACTCCGCAGTCCACTCCGTTCGGCCAGATATCCCTTTTTGTCTTCCAGGCCATGCTCTTCAGTGTGACGCCGTTTGTATCCCAGTCCACTCTATCGCAACTCGGCTTTTCATCCGCCCCTGAGGCTCGTGCAAACTTCTACCGCCGGGCCAAGACCCTCTTCTACCTCGAGGAGGGCCGTGACGATGTTTGCACGGCCCAGGGAGCTCTCATGCTGACATACTACGCACCCAACATGAAGGACCGCACCAACTGCTTCTGGATGAGCACCGCCATCCACTTTGCCCGCAATGCCAACGCCCACCGCTACTACGATCTCGAGGTCCCCAAGAACACGGTCAAGATGAGCACGAAGCCGAACATAACCTACCAGCGCCGCACCATCCTCAAACGGCTGTGGTGGTTCTGCGTTGTGCGTGACAAAGTCATGGCCCTCGGCATGCGGCGGCCCATGCTGATTGGCGCCGCCGACTTTGACATGTCGCGCCCGGGGTTGAATGTGCAAGATGCCGGCGACGAGATTGATGGATTGTCCGTCTATTCGCCGGCCACCAAACGTGTTTTCAGCCAAGTTTTCGCTGCGTTGTGTCGGCTGTCAGGTGTCTTGACAGGCGCTCTCGATTTGTGCTATCCAGCGAGCGGCACGCCGCCTCGCTCCGACCGCCCGCCGGCTGCCGTCGCCCAGGACTACGTGTCCAAGCTGGACGCATGGTACGAGGCTGCGGCTGCCAAGTTTCAGGGTGCCCTGGCGCGCATCGGCAGCAACGTCGACGGCCAGCTGGTCCTGGTCACCAACGCCTCGTACATCTACTACTACATTGCGCGTGCCTCTGTCTACAATTACCTGTCCCACGTGCTGGCCACACACCCCGAGGCCGCCGCAAGTAGCATCAGCACATATGGCAGCCCGCCCGCCAAGGTCGACGAGTCCTTCCGCGGTGTGACGAAGAGCCTTGCCGAGCTTAAACGGAGAGACCTGGTCCGCTACCTGCCAAATACATTGTATGTTACCCCTGTCTCTGTGTATCTTTCTTTTGTGTCTCCTCTTCCCTCTTCCAACTTGTTAACAATTCAGCGTCTCCATGGCGATACTGCCCTTCAAATGGCACGTGGCTAGTGTACGTATGACGGGCGGCAAGTTGTCGGGCAATGAGACTGACCTTACCATCTACTACGCGGTCTTCAAGGGCTTTGGTGAGCTGTATGAGATGACAGACAGCGCACTCAAGAGCGTGGGGACCATTCAAACATGACGTACGGGAAAGGGAATTTATAACAGTGGGGGTTCAGATTTTGTATCTCGTGTTTGGAGCTTCTGAGACTTTGGCACTTTGGTTTACATACATTTTTTGGGCTGCTGGTTTGATGGGCCTTTTGATTAAAATTACGTACATATGTACAGGCAGATGCTAGTGCTATTTACAGAAAAGGTTTTCTTAAAAAAAGGTACGTCTCTACGTCTCTCTAATAGTTGTAGAAGCCCGAGTTGGGGACGGGAGGCTCACCACTGAGCTTAAAGTAGCCGGGCTGCAGGGTCTGGTAGATCTGGGCGGGGTCGTACTTTTTGGAGACCTTGCGCAGGCGGGCAAGCACCTTGGGGCCGTAGGAGCTGAGGACGTCCTGGTACATGCTGGCGTAGTTCATGTAGACGTAGTCGATCTGGACACCGCGTGCCGTGGCATGGGCCTTGACCTTGGTCAGGACGTCCGATGCAAAGGCGGCCACGGCGGCATCATCCGAGGCGTTGTCCCACATGGCGGCCACCAGCAGAATGAACATCGGTCCATCGCTCTCTGTGAGGCCCAGCGCGTTGCCGCCGTTGCGGGAAAACTGCTGCAACTCAGGCGTCGTGATGCCCTGGAAGACGATGTTGGGCACGATGCCAGGGATGTCGGTGACGTTGCCAACGGTCTCGAAAAAGTAGGAGCGTGCAAACTTCAGCGTGTCGAGGTCGGCCTTGAAAGACATGGTATAGTACATCTCGCGGAGGCCGGGCGGGCTGTCGTTGGCGATCTCGGCGGCCCACGTGACAATGTTATGAATGCCGGTGGTGTCGCCGACGTTGGGAATGGCCTCGAACTCGTCCCATATGGCGGCCGTGGCACCGTTGGCGGCGTCGGCATAGTAAAAGGTGGGAGCGCAGATGTTGGAGCCGCCAGTAGTGACGTATACGACGTAAGCACCAGCATTCGGGTCGTCAGCCGAGTTGACGATGAGGTTGTAAAAGGCCTGGTCAACAGCGTCAAACTCGGTCTCAAGGTAAGTACGGGCCCCGATATACAGGGCCCCGTTGTCGGCCAGCGGGTAGGTTTGTAGGTTGAAGTTGACGACGAGGCCAAAGTTGTTACCGCCGCCGCGCAGAGCCCAGAAGAGGTCAGAATACTCTGTGGCACTGGCGCGCACAAGTACGCCGCTGGCAAGAACGAGGTCGTAGCTCTCGACATTGTCACAGGCCCAGCCATGAAGGTTGGAAATGTACGAAATGCCGCCGCCGGTGGTCAGGCCGCCGACGCCAATGTCGTACAGACGGCCGCCAATGACGGTTAAGTCGTAGGCATCAAGGTAGGCATAGACCTTGCCCCAGACGTTGCCTGGGCCGACCGCCACGGTGCTCTTGTCGGCGGAGAGCTGAATGTTGTTGAGGTTGGCAAAGGAAATGGTCATGCCGCTGGGCACGTTGGCGGCGCCGCGGTAGGCCGAGTGACCACCGCTCTTGGCAGCAAATGGGCAGCCGGTTAGACGGTTGACGAGGACGGCAATGGAGACGTCGGCGGTTGTCTTGGGCTTAAACACGCAGTAGGGCTGAACCTCTGCCTGGTTCTGCGACCAGTACGCGCCAACGAAAGCCGAGTAGGTGCTGGTGCCATTGGCGAGCACATAATTGCTGCCGTAGAGAATCGCGAGACCGTCGCAGGCCAGGGAGCACGGCGACGAAGGTTTTCCGGCCGAGGAGCGCTTGGACGTGGCACCAGCGCTGTCGGTATCGGCGGCGGTGGCGAGAGGCGGAATGGCGCTGACATTGACACCGAGCTGCAGCAGAGCGTCGGAGACATCAAAGTCGGCAGGCTCGACGGCAGACGAGGGCTGGGCCGCAGTCGCAGAGACCGGGACGGTCGCAATCTGGGCCACGGCAGAGCCGGCGAGGGCCGCCAAAAGAAGGCCGGCTGTCAACATGTTCCCCAGGCGTGGATGCGGGTGCAGAGAGGAGAGGGGGAAGAGGAAAGTAGAAGTATGGAGAAAGAACGAAAAGATGTTTGAAAAAGTCAAGGAAGGAGCAACACAGGAGAGGCAACGATTGAAATGGAAATGTTGCACGCAAAAGCAACCCGAAAAAACAAGCGAACCACGAGACACGGTGCACAAAAGAGAAGTGCATACGAGGTTGTGGTTTATGAGAATAAACAAACCGGGGACATGCGGGTGACTTTAAATTGGCGGCGAGCCAAGGTGAGCGGCGGAGACCCAGTCCCGACGGCATGGTCGTCGCGACGGACGCGTGGTTTGTAGGTGAGACGCCACGTGTGGCCGGGGACCCTGCATCTCCAGGTTATGATTTACGACGTACGAAGTTTGTCGTATGTGACAATGTTGTATCCGTACAACATACAGCATGCAAATTGCCATGCTTGCCATTGCAATGATTCTCGCAATTGGCAAGAACAATCAAATGCATGCGGAAAATGACGGCCTGTTGCAGCTGGACATTGGCCAGAGACCCTTTTGAGGCAGAGCTCGAACAGGGTAGCTTGTAATACCAGGGTGACATCCACTGTCGCCATCAACCCCCAAGTGCGGGTTCTCCACTCGGAATGAAGAGCGAGGACATCAGTGTTCAAGTGTAGCCGCAATACATACATCGTAGAACGGAAGGTATGACTTTGGGTGTTGGCTGCCTCGAACAGGAAATTGTGTACTCGTACGGGCACATAAACTTTATTACTCGTGCTGCAGTTCAATCTTCTGACAAGTCCTCAGAGTGTGACCTGAAAATGAGTACGAAGGACTGCACGGAGAAGTCTCTGGAGGAGGAATAGCATGGCGAACCTGTAGTCAGCTTTTTTTTGTCTCAAGTAGAGCCAAGGTAGTTAATCGTTCCTCTCCTCTGTTCTCCTTCGTCTTGTTTCTGAGGATTCCTCTTACGTGAGAACCGGAAGGAAAGGGCTAAGTTGTAGTCTCCAGCGTTCGTGGCTACGCTGTTGTGGTTGCGGTCGTAAGAGGAAGTTCAAGTGCTTTGGGTTGCACGCTAATCGTCTCGCGGTTTTTCTTTTTTTTTTTTTGGTATCATTATTTTATTTTCGTTGAACGACTACGTCCTCATCATCTCAGTCTTTACCTGTTTCGCCCTCTCCCTCTCGGTTCCCGGAGGCGTAAGCGTCAGTTTAGGCCCGTTTCCTTCTCCACTGCCCCTTTTTCCCCGTCCTCAGTTTTCGACAGTATTCCGTTCAGAGTAACCGATTCGTTCGCCCTCTTTCCTCTCCCACTAACGCCTGCATGAACCCTGCAAGCGTGGCTCTTTAGCTTTGCTAAGGATGCCTATGAACCCCAGCCAAGTCGTTCAAATGACAAACGGTGTTATCTTTCATTGCTCCTGTGCATACGAAGTACTTGAGGAACAGCTCTCTCAGGGTCTTTCCAAAGTGGAATCCTCGAAAATAAGATGATAATTTGCATGTTACAACGAAATCAGTGCTCTTGGCAGGCGATGCTGGCAGCCGGAAAGTCCGTAATCACCAGCAGGAAATGTTTTCCGGGCAGGGACCCTGGTTCCAGGAGGCAAAGGATCGTCGGTGCTCATAACCTAAAGGAGACTTGTGCAGCAACGGAGTCGTCCTTTAGCTCATTCCGCCTTTACCTTTCTCTCCTCTTTCTGACAAAAACTCATCCTTCCTCGGTTTCGGGTTCTTAGCGTTTGGCGACCTGCCTTCCGTTTTCGCTGTCTTCTCCATCAATGCCCGTCGGCGCAATTCTGCATGGCTTCCATTTGTTGTGCGCACTCTACTTCGTACATCGTATGTCGTATTCTGACCATCTTCGATCTGCCGATCTGCCCCTCAGTTTACCTGAGATAGGGCAGAACACCGAGAATGTAAGTTGCTTGGGAGTACTGGAAAGGACGATACCTCTGTGCACCAGTGGCAGGTAAAGAAAACCGAAGTACTTTCTGATAGTACCAGGTTGTCGAAGAAAGGAATACTTCCTTCAAGTCCACGCCATCTTACCGACCACTTTTGAAATATCGCAAAGCTGAACAGGCGGGATCACCACCCAGGTAAATCGTACTTGGCACTGACTCGATGGGTCTGTTTTCAGCAGGATCTGCGCTTCAAGACTGCCCATACTCTGCATTACTACAAAGTCGGGACCAAACCCCTGCTGACACAACCGAAGAGATCGATCGGTGTTTGCCATGGACGCCTTGTAAGGTGGTGGTGTCTCTTCTCGCCTTTCATTTTCTCGTGTAAATATGCGTCTTTCCGTTCACCACATTACTTTCCAAACCATTGACTCGACTCGCCAGCCCTTCTCGTCATGGCCGCCGATGTGACTGAGGGCTCTCTTCGTGCCACTGGCATTGCCATGCTGGTCCTCACCACTTTTGTCATCGTCCTCCGCATTTTGGGCAACCTACAGCTGTGGTACCAAGGCCGTCTCGCCGTCAACGGGCAGTGGTGGCACGAAATCCGGATGGAAGACATCTGGCTGTTGCTCTCCTACCTGTTCTTCGTCACCGTCTCCGTCCTGTACCTCTACATCGTCCCGGCCTTCTTCCGACTGACCCTTCTGGGCGAAGGTCTCATCGAACCCTACGCAACTGCCACCGAGGATGCCCTGTTCATCCAGAAGGGCCTCTTTGCTGCCTCCGCCTGCCTCTGGTTCTGCCTCTGGTCCGCCAAGTTCTCGCTGCTGTGCATGTACAAGAAGCTCTTTGACAAGCTGGCCCAGTACAACCGCCTGTGGTGGGCGCTCGTCATTTTCTCGACGCTGGCTCTAGTCGGCTGCATCGTCACGCTGTTCGAGGCCTGCGAGAACATGACGGCCTGGTTCTCCGTCGGCGCCTGCGTGTCTCAGCGTGACATTGTCCACGCTGCCATCAGCATGTGGTACGGCTACGCCGTTGACCTGCTGACAGATTTGCTGAGTTCGTTTCCTCTTTTCCAGTTTCATTGTCATGTCGTGTCTTTCACAAGTGGCCACCTTCTTCTAACGAGCCAGTCATGGCGCTGCCTCTCCGTCTGCTCATCGGCCTTCAAATGCCCTTGTCCCGCAAAATTTCCATTTCATGTCTGTTTTGTCTCGGTTTCGTCTGCATCATCGCCTCGACCATTCGTGTTACCCAGATCAATAACGGCACGCGCCAGCCTACTGTGCCTTGGTTGGCCCTTTGGGGTACAGTTGAATCAGCCACAGCCGTCGTCATTGCCAACTCCCCGAATTTGTACCGCACCATCAAGCGGCAAACGTCGCGTGCCAAGTACTACGGCGGGCACGGCAGCTACGAGAACACCGGTGGCAGCGGCAGTGCCCGGCCCCAACTGGCAACCATCGGAGGCACCGGTGGCCGCAGCTCGGGCTTTCCAAGCCGCAACCGCGGCACGAACAATGACAAAGACAACACTGACGACGTCGAGCTCAAGAGTTTTGGTGGCAGCGCCGGCAGCAACCACAGCCAAGCTGGCGACGGTGGTGTGAATGGCGGTGCCTCGTACTCCGGTGGCCGCAATCCAGCAAATATCGGCTTGGTCGACCCGGACAACAGCAGTCAAGAAGGGCTCGTGGATGAGTTGCGTCGCGCTAACGGCGGCATTGTCAACGTGACCGTCAGCGGTGGGAAAATGAACGCCGCTGGTGACGTCGGAGGCGGAAACTGGCAGGGAGGAGGGATTGTTGTGACCAATACACACGTACTGCAGCGGACAGAGGGCAACAGCTAAATAAGCAACGTCGCGTAGTTCACATTAATTTCGGCCCTTCGAGGACCTATGATGTTATCATTTACGACTTTATTCTTGCCGTGTACGGTGTATTTCTATCGGCTGAAGGCGCAAGAGGCAAGCGCTTTGTCATACGAAATCCATTGGGCTTCCCTCCGCATGACCCCGTTCAGCCCTCGGGAGCCGGCCCGCCGCTCGACGGCAGCGGCCAACTGACATGTGGGCATTCGAAACGCACGTCGTTCGAAATGACTCCTCACAACCAACCACTTCGCAGATACACGTCAAAGTACTAAACCATACATCGTTTCTTAATTAAATGTAAATTATGGCGCCGGTTCCACTTATCCCCTTCGTCGTCTTTTGTTTGCCGGCCGAAGACTGTTGCCGAATGCGATGGCAATAATCTGCTCCGGACCACTGCCCCGGGATGCACACTGTTGCTGCGGTCGATTCAGTCCTGATCTCGTCACCACCATAAATGAGGCAATTCTTAGAGCACACCGGAAGGATACAGAAGAGGTTCTACGGATCGTATTCCACTATGCCCATCACTCGTCCACCAACGCCGGGCTCGAGGGGCACGAAGCCCTCAGCGTCTACTGCCAGTCTCGCTGCGGTCGTTCATCTACCGCATCAACTCCATTATAGAGGATTTCATCACTATTCCCAATGGCCTTCTCCAAGGTCTCTCGGCCAAGTGCATCTATGCGCTGTCAGATAATGTCATGGACTATGTTGGTGGTGAAAGCCGAAAGGTTGTTGAGGGCCTCAAGCAGCTCTCCAGTCAATACAGACGCTCCTTCACATTGGTTAACGAGCTGTATTTGGTGGTATCGTCATATTGTCTGGGGGGACATAGTATTGCCTAACGTATTTTAACAAAAGATAAACCACCCATTGAGTAACGTCCAAACCTGTTTGTTGAAGCAAGGAGCATTGAGCATAATCGCTTGTGGTAACTACTTATGAGATATTGAGACTGGAGACGGTTGTTACTTTCTACAATTGATTGATAATTGTGCAGTGATGAAAAGTTTTGCGGTTAATTTAATAAAGAATGATTAGAAACACGTTTTATTTTAAAATCTTCAGATGTTTAGTTTCGTGTAAAAAACTTAAAAATAATTTAAATGAATTTTTTTTTAAGAAAAAAGAAGTGACGATATTTAAAAGGTTAATAAACAATGTCTCATGAAAACAAATTTTGAGGTAGAATCTTGTTTGAAATATTGAAAAACGAATAAATAAATGTATGAATTTATGGTTATATTTCTGCAAATTCTCGGACATTTTTAAGTCCCACAAATCGATTCATCTGAAATACCACATGACGGGCCGCAGCCCGTTTATTATTTCCCGGCTTACCGCGTACTAAAAGGCTGAAATAGATTGATTAATGTTTCATTTCGGTATTCTATCTGTATGAGTGTGATCCCAGTCCACTGTGTAGGATCGCTGTTACCCAGCACATTTGTGTATTATCTAGACAACGTAAAACAAAATAGACTGCAAATGACCGAGGCAGTAAAAGCACGACTGATAATGACCCCCAAAACGCCGTCCCATTTATAAAAACCATGCCCTGCAGATTATGTTTAAGACGCACAGACAAGCCCAATGACTGAGACGGTTATGACGTCGTCACATCAATGGACAGCTTGGGTACAGAAAAGGTCACATAGTCGGTGGAGTAGTAGGCCTCCGACCCAAAGGCAAAATAGCCGAGATAATCGCTGGCACTGGGGAAGTTGGCATTCTTCAGCGAGAACAGCTTTGTAAAGAGTGGTAGCAGGTCACCATTGAACTTATCAGTGGTCTCCGAGGCCAGCCACGTCAGCACGTTCTGCTTCAGACTGTTGGTGCCGTAGTAGAGGCTGAACGTGGTGCCGTTAAGCACTTCCGTTGTGAGAGCACCGGTGGCGAGGCCAATGGGCTGTGCAGCAGCGCCAAAGTCGGCAAACCACACCATGACTTCGTACGCCGCCTTGGAGCTGTCTCCCGACTTGGTCTGGTCCTTGTCCAGGAACATATCGACGGCAACGTTGGCGTTGACGTTGTCGGCGGTCAGGCCGGACTCGTCGGTTGTTGCGGCGGTTTTGTTGCCGACACCATACGTCCACTCGACGTCGAGATCGATATGGACCAGGGACTCAACAGTGGCCGGGAAGACACCGCCGTCCACCAGAACGTTGGGAAATGCGTGCACAGGCTGGCTCTCGGGACCTTGCGGGTACTCCCAGGTAATGGACCAGGCAGGTGCGGTGGTCTTGGTCGGATACGTGCTGTTGTCGTATGTGGTGACCTGGCAGTGTTAGCAAGGCGAACGTTCGGGCGTGGTGGGCCTGAGCCGCTGCCGACATGTGCCGGTGATTGTGCGTAGTTGTGAGTCTGTGTAGGTGGAGGGAAGAAGGACCAATACGTACATTCATACAAAGACCACCACCTTCGGTAGGATCCCAGCCCCACTGGTTAGGGTTCACTGACGAGGCGTTAGTAAAGACAATGGTGATGCGAGACAACAATGACCAACACGAGACAGAGGGTGAGTGATCGTGAAGCTTAGTAAGCATGGATTGGGGATGGGAAACATCGACGTACGTGTGAATTCCTGGCCTTTTGTGATTGGCGTGATACCGTAAGACTTTTGGCAGTACGTCTTCGTCGTGAGCTTATTTCCCGTGCCGCCGCCGCCGTCGGAGCCGGCGCCGCCGCTGGGCTGCGGGGTGTAGATAGGCGCATCGCCGACGGAGGAGCGCTGGGCGTCAATGCCAAAGAGGATGGCGAGCGTCACGCCGATTGGGATGACGAGCAGCGCAAAGTTGACGAGAAACGTCACGCCGAGAACGGCCATGGTGAGGGGATGCCCGTAAACAAGGCGTACACAGCGTGTACTGCGAAGACGACGGCGAGGAAGTTGGCGACGAGGGCGCCGAAACGGAAAATGAAGCCGGCCAAAGGAAGAAAAATAGGAAAGACGAGATCGAAACGAGAGCAGGAGTATGCAAACGAATGAGAAGCTACACGAAGGCACGAAATTCGTAAAGCACGGGCGGTCGAGGGATATGAGAATCGGCGATTGGGACGGAAGGGAGGGAGAGCGGAGATGGAAGCGGGTCAGGCGTAGGATTGTGGCCAACGAGTACAGAACACTACCCGGAGGAGAACAAAAAGAGTGAACAGCTAAGGAGTGTACAAAACAGGGCAAAGAACGAGCATCGGAATGCAAAGACGTCAGCCACGGTCTGTTGTGTTTCTTTTACAAGAATGGAGCTGGACAAGAGAGGGCAAAGTGGATATGGTGAAGCACGGCAGGAGTGGGATGTTCAGGAACAACTACGCTGCACTGATACGGCGACGCCCGTGGTCTTGGGAACAAAACAGGAAAGGAAGGGCGGCGTGCTGGGTGGGGGCTTTGGGCGATCGATGACTTTGCTTGGCACCTGCAGGCCTTGCGACTTCGAAGTGGTGCGGTGTTCTGCAGTGGGTTCTAGCTCCAATCGAGCTCCGCCCTTGCCACCTGTGCCCAAGCTGGACGACTTTCGAAGAAAAGTGCCGAAGTTGCTCCTGTTTTTTTACCCTCTCTGCCCCCCCTTGGTCTTTGCTGTTTTATTTGATCTCAGACACGCCGGAATCTGTTTAAAAACGGGTGGGTTGCCGATGACAGGCCATATGCGCATATTGAGAGAAATGCGAGTCCTTTGCTCCGCAGTATCTCACAGCGCAGTCTGTGTGCTCAGTCTTTGTTCTCTGTGCTCGTATTACACTCTCCGCGTCGCGTATTTTTCACACTGGAATTGTATTACGATGCATGCACACCCAGGCCGACAACCGAGCGGGTGGGGGGAGGGGCCGGAAACGTCAGTAACAGAAATCGGTTCTTGGGACGTAAAATGATTGTCACACTAAGATACTCGTACTCCTTACACAGTACGGATGACGGTTTGCACACACAACGCAGGGAGTAAAGGGTGTGCCTCAAAAAAAAAATAAAAAAATCGGCAGGGCGTCAAGGCGTTTGTAATTGTCTCCACTTATCCCCTGCCGGTCTGGACTGCTTCCCTGGCGAGCCTGGTTCTTCGCTCTCCAAGCCCTGTCTGGACTTGCCCATCAAAAGACAAAGGCGACCTGGGCGGCGGACTCCGACCTGTCTAGTGGCATCCGGACCACGCGTTGCTATAATTAGGCACCGACGGTGGCCAGCGCTCTCAGAGATACGAACAACGGAGCTACAGGAAAAGATGGAAATAACGAGTGGCAGAGGACCAAGGGGCAATTAGACGAAGGAGATGGAGAAGCTTCAGCTGCATTGGATATAAAAAAAGGAAATATGGGATACGTCGTATGTTTCCCCTTGTTTCTACGATGTAATAAATTAGCGAAGAATCGCGAAGAAAAAATTAAATAAATTAAAACAATTCAACCACACTGAAAAAAATTACACCGAAACTATACCACTGGGCGCTCTCATTCAGAGGCAAAAGACAAGCCATTGGGTGCTAGAGGGGCCAAAAGACGCGAAATTTTCTGGCCCCAGTGACACCGCACCGTGCTAACCGACCTCCTTACCAGAACCATGCCCCAGCCCACTACGAGCCCACCCAACACACCGAACGCGCCCACCACACCACTCTAGCAATCCTGCATCATCCAACGCGTTGGTGATAGGCGCCCCATTAAGGCACAGTGGGTCTCGAATCGCGCACTAGCCACTAGCCTCGCGGGATTTTCTGCAGGGGCATTCGGTTCCTTCTCGTACAGTCTCCCAAGATTTTTCTCATTACTTCGTATGCTTCCTTGTCACTTTTCAGTCGTGTTTGGGCACTGGCAGCTCGTATTGGCATCGTTTAGCCAGTCTCACTGCCAACGGAAAATGCTACCATATCATTCCGTTCCTTCTCCGCTGTGGTCATTTTCCTCACGATGCACACTCCGTCGTGGGCCATGGTTATACGCACCATATCGCAGACCACTGAACAGGAAGTGGCTTGGCTTGGTTC